TTCACTTTGAAATGTAAATATAAAAAATAATCTTGATTACAGTGAGGCCGAATCATATGCCTCCATATAAGAAAATATGTTAGTTAAAAATAGCCAACTTGCTTTTCTCTCACACTCTTCTAAAAATGTGGAGTCTATTTTTTGTAAGAATTGAGATTCCGTGGAAAGAACTTCATTCTGTTTTGAAATAGAAACAACTAGAGCAAGCTTCTTTTAATATTCTCCTGACTTAAAACAAGCATTATGTAGGTGCTATATATTTTCTGAGTAACACAATCACAATATTTTTTAAATTAATTATTTTTCTTTAAGGGAGTATAATTCTTGCCAAGACCATAAAATTAAGTATATCATTTTAATATGCTTGTTTGGGTCTGCCAATATAACCTTTTTGTGTTTAAAAAAAATATTTCCCAATGAGTGAGTCACAGATAAATTTCATTTATTTCTGCAGATCCCACGATGGCTCATTTTAGGGTCAGGTCTCTCCCTGTTGGTACTACTTAGGAGAATAAGTTCTAGATACATTTTCTCTGAGAAAACTAATTAGGCATAATTAGCATTGGGACTTCACAAATGAATATAGATAGCACTGCAGACAAGTTCCCCTGATGCAGCAGTTCTTACTCTTTGTAATTTTTTTTTTTTTGTTCATTGTCTGTTTTCCCTCCTGAACTGTCAGTCTACCAGCATAGTGATTGCGTCTGTTTTATTCATCTCTGTCTCCCCAGGGTCACCCTGGTATCTGCTATGTAATAACTTCCCAATAAATACTTACTGAGTGAATTAATGAATTCTTTAAACTTGTTCTGAAGACCATGGTGAAATGTGGAAGTGTTACTGCTATAGTAACTCTTGCCTTCTAGGATCATTGTCTCCAAAGTGCATAGAGTAATTAGAAATGAATATTGAGCATGCTATCTTCATATCCATTGAACAGCTGTGTTTGAGGTAAAATTTCCTCACGTTATCAAAAGGAGGACAGTTTGTGAGTTACTCCCAGCTTAATCCAAACTCTCCTTATCAGAATTATACAGTGCTGATGACCATTCAATTCATTTTCTCAATGTATTCATTAAGCTACTAGGATATGTTAAGTCACATTGGCCTTCAAATTCGTTTTTGTGCAGTACATTACACATCTTGTGCCTTCAAACAACAGATCACAATAGAACCCAAAATATACCTCTTCCAAGTCTGAGAAAGAACTTCTCATCCAGTTCCTCATCACTCCACAGTCTCTTTGTCTTCTTGTCTTAACCTCATATAAGAAGAATCCCTGTTAGATCTGAGACCATCTAGATAATCCATGCTGGGTATGATTTTGATTTACACTTTCTCTTTGAGAGGAGTGAAGTGGAGGTGTATCTCACTGGACTTCCTACAGACATCACAATGATTGAATTTCCTGCCTTCCTGGAATTTTCATTCCAATAAAAGAGACAGTTAGACAAAAAGTAATTTGGGTGACGTCCTATACTTTCATTTATAGTATTAATTTAAGTGGGCTATGGAAACAACTGTCTGAGAGCCCAATTAAGAAAAAACACACACAACTTGGAAAAGCTTTCCAAATGACTGGGTGACCATGAAAGAAAACTGACCCTTAAAGAAAGTGTGACTCACTCAAGAAACTGAGGGAATGCACTGTCCTCTAATCAGACAACCTAGAGATTTGTGCTAGTCAGTTGGAAAAAGCCTCATTAATAAAGTTAAGGGATTTGAAGTTTACCCTGAGATGAAATCAGAGCTCTGTGTGATGGACCAGCACTAATCCCATAAAGACAGAACTTATCCACCAAGTATAATAATGGCTGCACAAAGCTGGGCCATGGCTCCTACTTCCATGTTGGAAATTGTGTTCTTTCCAATATTTTACTGCCTCATGAAAAACACAATAACATAGTTACATTTCTCTGGCAGAATGTGACAATTATATTTAATTCAACACTCTCACATTATAGACTTAAAATCAATGGCAAACAAGGGCATGCATGATTCTTGTAAAACAAAAGAAAATCTATGTCTAGTAGGTTCTCCTGTTAGTGAAAAGGGTCATTTAAAATATTTCAGTAGCTAGGACTTGGAGACAGACAAATCAGTATTGTGCTCTCAGCTTTTCTCTGTCCAGTATGTGTAGGTTTTGACAAGAAACAGAACTACTTAACTAGGAGTAACAATGGTGCTGACATAAGCCTGTGGATCATGAACATACATTCAATAATATTTTTAAACTCTATACGTTGACCTAAGAACATATGTCTGTTTATTAAATAATACATAGACTATAAGTGATTATGGGTATTTATGTTTGTCATATTTCCCTAATCATACTACCCTCATTGTCTATATTATTTTATACCCAGTAAAATAGTGACTGTCATTAAGCATTATTTTCAACTGTGTTGAGTATGGTGTGTATGTTATTCTTTATACAGAAATGCTTAATTTTGCTAGTATACATGCTTAGGAAATAATTATACAGGGCTATGAATTCTTTTAAACAATTAAAATTTTAATTCAAAACCAGCTTACAATCACATATTCAGAAGTATGCAAAAGGAGATGTATTAATGAAATCAGTAGTTAACTAAGTTATTATGTAAGTAAACATAAATTTCTATGGCAAACTTTCTGATTTCCACAAGCCAGTCAAGTACATAATCTTATTTCCCATCTGAGCTTTGAATAAAGTCTCAATAAATCACTAGAGACTTGACTGCTGTGACAATATTTGTTCTAGGCTGAAAAGTCTTGAACTAGATAATATCTTTCATGAGCACAGGAGATGTAAGTAAATAATGTCTTCCATTAAAAAGGTCATCTTCTTTATCTTCAAAACTATAATGTTTTCTGAAACATCAATTACTTAAAAAATTTATTGTTTGATAATTTTCAGTGAGAAAATACGACATTTTAAGAGCACACCGTTAATTCCCATATCAGTGGTATTTTGAAGATTGTAAAACTAGGAGAAAAACTAATAAAAAGCTTGAGTCCATTACTTATTGGATAAGATGCAACTATTTAACTCATTTCTGAATAGATTAAGAACTAAAATGTAACATTATAAAAACTGCCTAAAAATACTTTGATAAAATAATGGTGACTAAATTCTAATTCCAATGTTTAATAAATTTCTTTAGCTGAAAACTGAACAAACGTGCCCCTTTTTTATGACATTTGGAAAGTCTCCTAAATGGTGTGACTGATTGACTGATTTCTTACTGAAGCCAACAGTTGATACTCCCTAGAAGAGGAGGCTGTGCAAGCCTGATGACCTGAGTTGAGTCCCCAAGAATGTTTATGAAAGATGGATGTAGTAGCATAGCCACCCTTACAGAAAGATGGGAGGTGGAGAAAGGAAAACTCCTGGAGGCTAGGGAATGTATATATCAAGGTAGTCCCAAAAAAGGGTGGTGAATGATGAGAAACCCTATCTCCACCAAGGCAGAAGACTAGCACCAAAAGCCAAGATTGTCCTCTGACCTCCATATGTACACTCAAACACACACTGGTGCGCACACACACACACACACACACACACACACACACACACACACACACACGAAATATAATACAGTGCTTTAGTCAAGTTGAAGGATAATAATGGGACTTATTGATTAATATTTTAGACTACTGATGGATGAATTATTATTGGTACTTATAACATGGGAAGGAAAAGAAATTTATAATTTGAGAGCCTGGATTCTGGTCAAAAGTTTACATGAGGAAACTCTTTAATCTGGGTTTCACTTTCTTTACCACTACTTTTTTCTTTAATTAACACACTAATTATAGATATTAAGGGATTCACTCTGATGTTTCTGTCTGTATATACATCATATGTAAGCAATTCCCATACTATCCAGTGTAGAAAACAGTAATAGAGAAATAGAGTACAATAAAGAACTGAACCAATCAATGTATTGAAAGATAAGTGACATGTAGCTGCTGCAGTTTTTAAGACAAGAGGTTTTTTTTTTCTTTGTCTATAATGTGCAAGGCCCCCTGTTCAAACCTTAGCATCATAAACACATACACACACACACAGAGAAAGAGAGAGAGAGAGAGAGAATTTTGCCAATGTCTTAGTTTATTTATTTCTTTGTATAGTAAAACACCCTGACAAAAGTAACTTAAGTAGAAAGGTATGTTTTGGCTCTAGTACCTGTATTTAGGAAGGGAAGTCCAGGCCACAAGAAAGAGCTGGAGCAGGTGGCCATAGCACAATCATGGAATATGGAGCAAATGAGTGAATGCTGGTGATTATTTCCCCTTCTCCATTCATTCATTCCTGGATCCCAGCCCATGAAATGATTCCACCTACAATAAATGTTAATGTAATCAAAATAATTGCCCACATGGATGCTGAGATGCCAGCATCACCTAGATGATTCTAGGTCCGTCAAGTTGACAATTCATACTAAACATCACACATAGGAAAAAAAGTAGTATGTTGTTACTATATGTGATATCTGACCTTTTTATCAAAAAAGAAAAAACAAAGCACTTAAGTATTCCTTTCCCCCCACTTATTATCTATCAAATATATATACATGTGTACACACATATATACCTGTATCCTTGTCCACACATGAATATCCTTGCGCTGTGAATATGGAAATGCACATCTTTAATATTTGAACTTAGTTCTATGAAATATATATTAAATATAAATTTAATTATTTTAATTTATTAATTTAAATTTCAGCATAGTCTTTTCATGTTGTAGAAACCATTGCCAAACGAGTCTGCAAAGTCTGATCGATGCAACTCATATTCAATCTTAAAAGGAAGCACTAAGAATTCATATATTTTAGTTATATTTTTAAGAAAGAAGAAAGTTTGGTGCTGTGTATGATGACCTCAGTTCTACAAACATTATATAAATATCATTTCAGCTGGGTTATTTAAAGTGCTATTAAAATAAAGGTCAATCTGGTGTGATTTAAAATAAATAACCAGCATCATATGTGTCGCCTGTGTCTCTGTTTCAGCTTCTGATATGGCAGCAGAACAAGGCCAGATCCTGGTAATAGCCACAGCAGCCGTCGGGGGATTCACGCTCCTGGTCATCCTCACTCTGTTCTTCCTCATCACTGGGAGGTAAATGAGTCTATCCCAATTATCCCCAACTCCGTGAAAAACCACACTTTATGAGAGAGAGAGAGAGAGAGAGAATGTATGTGTATGTGTGATTGTTTGTGTATGTGTATGAGTGTATGTGTGAGTGTGTGTGTGTATGTGTATGAATGTATGTGTATGTATGTGTGAGGATGTATGTGTATGTGTATGAGTGTATGTGTGTGTATGTGTGAGCATGTGTGTGTGTTTACATGTGTGTGTGTATGTGTGAGTGTGTGTATGTGTGTTTGAGTGTATGTGTGTATGTGTGAGTGTGTGTGTGTGTATGTGCATACATGTGTGTGTGTATGACAGTGTTTGGATGATTACCAATACCCAAGTATCAAAACTTCACAAATAAGAATGAAGATATCATATATGAAGTTATTTTCAAGCAACTTATTTTGAAATCATCTTTGACATTTATTTATCAGAAGTATCTTCAGATCATTCTTCTAAGGAAAAATATGTATTCATTGATTGTGCTGATTAGTTTTATGCCAACTTGACACAAGCTAGAGTCATTTGGGAAGAGGAAACCCAGTTAGAAAATCTCACCAGACTGGTCACATCAGATTGATATGGGAGCACCCAGCTGATTGTGGGTGGTGTTACTCCTAGGCACTGATCCTAGAATGTCTAAGAAACCAGGCTGAATAAGCCACAAGGAACAAGCCAGTGAGGATAGAACCCCTATGGACTCTGCTTCAGTTCCTGCCTGTAGATTCCTGTCCTGACTTCCCTCACTGATAGAGCATGAATTGACAGTTGTAAGCAGAAAAATAAAGGCTTTCCTTCCCAAATTGATTTGGTAATTATGCTTTCTCACAACAATCAAAACTCGAAGCATTTCTAAATATCAGTAGGGGAACAAAGAATGCCTCAAGACTTACATTAATAATCTGAAACATGTGCATAATACAAGATTCCAAAGCCATGATTTCAAACTGCCCAAATAATGCCAATAAAACAAACAATAGACACCCAAGGTGACTCCATGTATAAAGCACCAAACCCTAGTAGAAAGCCCTAAAGCAGACAAAGCCCAATATTCACAGGCAGTAAATCTGGGTATGCCGTTCACATCCCTGGTGACAGAAAGAGACGATGAGATGGGGAGAAAGGCCTCAATTCATATTCTATACGATGTAGGTAACATATATTATAAGTATATCTGATGTGGCTATAGAGTGGATTTATAGAACATTTAAAATAAACTTCATGATTTATAGGGGTTTTTGTATATTGTTTGTTGTTGTAGACAAATATGACACTCCTCTTAAATAAAAGCCATCTAATATTGTACCCTAAACATCTTCAAAGAAATTTTCAAAATGGAAATTAAGAATCTTGTGAAGTCAAAAATTAATCATCCTTTTAAATTATCATAGTCTAGATCATACATGTTTTGTATCTTTGGTGTTAATAAATCTATAGTGGATATCATTGTACTTTCAGTTGTGTGTAATTTTATGAGGAAGTAATTATTTATGTCAAGATATCCATACCCAAGATTCACAAGTTGCCAACAGCATTTATTTTATAGAGGGTAAATGAGTACTAGAAAAGATTATTATATTTAGTGTTCTCCTGATAACATTTACTAAGCAGTTATCAATATATAAGTTATTAGCAGTATTTTTATAACACAATCACGTTGTCATTGTGACATTTCACATAACCAAATATTTTCATTTTCATTTTATCCCCCACATCCTTTTAACTCCTCAGATACTTTTTTTCTTTCACTTGTCTCTACTCTGACAAAGATCATCACTGTCTTAGAATTGTTCTTTGCAAGAGAGAATGTGATGACATTATAAGAACATTCACCTTTTACAGTAAAAATTATTGCTTTGGATTATAAATGTTACAAACTTAAAATGCTGCAATCTTTGTGGACAAAATTTAACCTAACAAATTTGAAAGGAGTTATCAAATGTTACCTGTCTTCATAATTCCTAAACTGGAATATCAGTGCCACTTAAACAGAGAAGTTAGTAACAAAGAAAACTGAACACTAAATCATTCTCAACTTTGAATTTCTATGTTTGCCAATTTTTATAACATCAGAAATTGCCTAAATACTTTACATGCTGGAAAGAACTACTTTGATTACATTAGCTAATACAGTCATTCTGAAGTACCTCTCACGGACCTTGGTAGAGAGACATCCAATGAAAGTAATTCCATGGAAATAGCAAATCTGGATGAATATTTAAACTACCCTAGAAATACAGGCATAATTCACATTGAAAAATTGCACTATGTCCTATAGATGCATTCTGTTTAACTAACTGGAATTATAAATTTTATGAACAGTCAAATCCCATGGATGTTGATGAAGCTACTTGAATTGATATAGTCATAAGAGCCCAACTACGCAATGCAAGAACAGAACATTCCCCCACAAATTTTCAACTCCTAAGAAAGAAGCCACCATGCTAACGCATTGAAAATAGAAGCTAACTTCCTAAATTTCTGAGATTCTGACTCAAAACCTTTTTTATTTTGATGCTTTTAAAAAAATGTGATTATTAGAAGTCAGATATAAAAGGGATTTTATGGCTGATGGTGAAATATTTTATATGAATCCTATCTTTTGAATCAGTATATTTGACCATGCTATTTGGTGCTAACTTTTATGTAAAGCATTATATGGGGCATTTTCACATTGTAAACATATTCTAAGCTGGTCTTTATAAAGAGAGACAAGAACTTTGTCTAGGGACGATGTGTATTCTAATTGTTTTGTATTCTTTTTTACATTTTATTTTTAGTTGTAAATCATGTATATGTAGAAGGATATATGCATAGGAGTTCAAGTGTCCATGGAGGCCAGAAGAGGGTGTTATAGGTCCTGAACCTGGAGGTGCAAGTAGTTGCGCGTCCTCTGATGTAGGGGATCAACTCAAGACCTCTGGAAGAGTAGCAAGTGTTCTTCACCACTGAGCCATGTCTCCAGGTCTCTAATTATTTTGTATTCTTATATCACATAATTCTTAAATAAGCTTTTGTTTACTGTTTTTGTAAGGTGTCAATGGTACATAAAGGCCAAAATGAAATCAGAGGAGAAGAGAAGGACACACTTACAGAATGGCCACCGTAAGTACCGCCATTGCTCTGCCTCTGCTGAGCATCCTCCTGCAAGCTTCAGAACTCCCTTCACATTTGTGATCCCCTGGAAGCAAGCAAACAAGAAATGCATTTCCAACCTTCTGGCATTAAGGGTTTCATCTAGCTTCCAGGTTTAGGGTGGAAACTGCACCTGCTTCTCATTAAATGACATTACCTTTCCTTCAATGCTTGTGGGAGAACCCAACAAATTGAATTTACTAAAAATACCTGGTGACTAATTGTATATAGTTATTTACCATCACAATGGCCCTGGAACATGAGTTGGTTTTACTTAGTGCAGCATTAGATAGAGATGTGTTGAGGAACCCTTATGCCTTTTTTTAGAGATTGTCATTTAATCATACAACAAAGCAATTTACAATTCATTAGCACTATAAAAGTATATCAGCTCTTTAACTCTTAGAATATGTATGAAGCCCCATGCTGACTACAAGGTTATATTCATTTGAAGATCTCTTCCTAGGCAAGCTATAATTACTACTATAGTTGGTTTGATAATTGCCCTTTTCTCCTCCCAAACACCCACCTCCACCTTTACCTCAAAATTGCAAACTACTTTGTCAAGACAGTTTTTCTATTGTGAGACACTGAATTAACAAGAAAGCAATGTTCTTTAATTAAGCAAAGTATAGAGATAATATATGGAGCATCTTGCTCAACTATTTAAATCTCCTTTTTGTTTTAAATTAAGCAAAAAAAAAAAAATTTAAAAGCACCCCTCCCGTCTATATCACCCCACAAGACAGGAAAAGGTTTAAGTAAGATATTATAAATTTCTGAGATGGTTTGGGGAAATTTCTAAGGCACCTATCACTTTTAAAAGTGGTCTAAGTACCATCTGCCTGAGAGACCTGGCCTGAGATGAACTCAGAACATTGTAAACAGATTGCAAAAACCTGGATGCAGACACCTGGTGGGATGACTAATGCTGGGCAACCTTAAGATTCACTGCAGGGCCTTTTGTACTGAGGTGCAGGGAGAAACAGTGCTTCTGAGGTATTTATTATCTGCTTTCCAAGCAGCAGATTAGCATAAACTAAACCAGATGGGCTCAGCAAGACCTATTGAAAATAACCTGAAGCCGCCAAGGAAGTGAAGAAAAAGAAACCAGTGTTGAAGAAATCAGGGATGAGTTAAAGTAGTAAACCTGATAGTCACAATCGGGACTCATTGGGCCAAGGTTTTTCCAAAATTACATATATCACATTTTTGCAGAAGAAGCATTGTTATCTAGCTATTGTATAGGAATGCTTTATAACTTTAAAGAAATAGCTTAATTGTGAAAATTACATGTGAGTTAGTAATGGGACTTTTATTTGTCTCTAATGTTTTCAACATGACCATATATCTGGTTAGCTGACACTCATTCTCCAGCAGAATTAGAGCTAAACTTAAGATTATAACTATGATTAAGTTGTGAGTATAACACAGAAGCTATGAAAATATAAATATAACATAGAGGTACAAGCTATCTCTTCTTTCCTCATATTTAAACTGTGACAAGTCAGGAACAGCATAGAATTTCAGAATCAATGTCAGGTCTAAAAAAACCTGGCAGTATTCTTTTTTGGTACTATTTTTTAAAATGCTGATTTTCTCATGTGTGCATATCAAAGCACTAAGAAGTCCTAGGTGAAAGGTAATAAATGAAGGCAATGAACACAGAATAATTAATGAAGCAAATTACAGCTACTAATGAACATAATGAACATCTTATTGCCTCTTCTAAGCTCCTTTTTTTTGGGGGGGGGGGGTATGATTTTCCTGTAAGAAAGTGAGTGAGACTAAAAACCCACTTGATTGTGAATTAGTATGGCTTCGAATTTCTGAGATGTAACAAAACCAAATTATCATCCACTTATTTTCCATTGTGTGATAGATACTTTGATATCACTGTGACGAAATAGTGGACACACATACCTTCTAGGTTGAAGCTTTCTTTTGTTCATGGTCTCAGAGTTCTCATACATCGAGGGTATGATAGAGCAGAGACATTCAACTCATGGTAGAGAAGAGGCAGAGTGTGCTGTGAAAAGACTGCCTGTGCTGTGGGCTTCCCTCTCTTTTCCTTTATCCATGCCATACCCTAGCCCATGTGATTATTGCACCAAGATTTGAGGAAGTTTTCTCCTTTAATGACTATCTTAGAACATTTTTACAGATACACCCAAAGACCTTTATTAATCTCTGAAGCACTTCTCAATCTATCTGTCAATCAAAATTAACCATCGTGAGTCCACCTTCCATCGACTTCACATCTAAACATATCTCCTTAAACCATAACATTCTACTGCTCATTCTGAAATGTTTCATCTGCACCTTACAATATCAAATGCATTTTTTTCCTAGAACCCAGTCTTTAAAGTCTTAATAGCTCACCATTGCTGAAAAGTTCAAAATCTCCTATGAAGCCAGAGTCACAGAGACCAGATAGAGTGATACAAAATAAATTCTCTCATTCCAAAAGCCGAGAATACAGAATACCAAATAAGGTTTGGAACAATACAAAGCAAATATAACAGAGTAAACATTAAATCGTGTAGCTTTGTGTCTAGGATTCAGGTCATGTTGTAGAATGACATAAGTTGCAAAGGACTTGGGTATCGCATCCTCTCTATTTTTAGCACACTTGACCACTTTCTTGAGCTGGTTCTGCCTATTGCCTATAGTATTTCTCAACAGGTATTCCGTATTCCCAGAATCTCTAGCTTTCTGGAATCTCTATTTCATCTTTACCTTTGTTATCATAACTTTATACATTATCCTATCAACAATTACCACAGTAATACCAAATCTTCTACACATTGACTGGATCTCTAGGCTTTCTTTGAAAGTTGAGGGGAGTCTCTATGACCTTACTAATGATTCTTCTACATTCATCATTACAAAATTAGAATTAGTAAATAATGTTAGGTCTTTTGTCAGCCTGAACCATGAGTATAGAGTCCTCTTAGGGTGAAGATGACTGAGAAAAGTGAAATAAATCTTAAGGAAATAACTACCCAGATTATCCTAGGTGAATAGTTTACACCAATAGATCTTGCCTCTTAGGAAATATCTTTCAAGTAAGTGTATGCACTTATTCTCTAGAATCTAACATGGGTAGAATCCTGCTCAGTCCTGAAATGCTTAAGGCACACCTTAACTTTCCAAAGCCAAGTCCACAGCTTTCTTTTAATGGCTCTAATCTCTTTAACAGCCACACCCTCTTGTCTTTAAATTTAAACTTAATTCTTTCTGACCAAATTGTGAGGTTATTTTTTGTCTTCCAAGCCCTTCTATTCTAATTTTTTTTAAATCACAGTTCTCACCATAAATATGACTAAAAGTAGCCAGCACAACTGTGTCAGAGCCTTCTTGGACTGCTTTGAAATTTCCTCCACCAAATTTGCCTTTGGTGACCTCTCATTTCAGCCTTCCCCTGGGGCATGAACAAAAGTTGTGGAAATTCTTTGTCACAGTGTAACATGAAGGTCCTCTAGTCAGATTTCCAATACAGTTCTTCCTATAAGAAACTCCATGAATATGGTCTTCACTCTTGGCATTCCTGCCTGCATTCTGGTCTTCTGACCTCCCTCCAGAATTACCATTAGGCTCTCCTTACAGACCCAGAACTTTTGGTCAGAATTTTTCAGATCCACTTATAAACCATTCCGAAAGCCTCTGAACCATAGGGTCCAGTCTAGTCACAGTAATGTTCCTGTTTCTTTACATTAGATTTCTTAAGGAGGAAGGATGTATTTTTAGCTCAGGATTTCATAGAATTCTGTCTGTGGCTACCTGATTTTGAATTTGTGGACCTATGGTAAGGTAATATATCCTAGAGGTAGGACCCTGCGGCAAAAGCTGTTCAATTTGTGGCAGCCAAGAAGCAGAGCAAGAGAGAGAATTTTTTTTGTTTTTTTTTTTTGTTTTTTGTTTTTTGAGACAGGGTTTCTCTGTGTAGCTTTGCGCCTTTTCCTGGAACTCACTTGGTAGCCCAGGCTGGCCTCGAACTCACAGAGATCCGCCTGGCTCTGCCTCCCTAGTGCTGGGATTAAAGGCGTGCACCACCACCGCCCGGCAAGAGAGAGAATTTATACACTGTAGGAGCTCTCTGTTGTTTTCCTTTTTATGCAGGCATCAACCTGAAGGGAAAATAATGAGAAATTTAAGTAATTAATAAGTAACTACCTCTGTATGCCACTCCCACCTTTAGACATTCACAAGATAGATGCCTGCTGAAATACTCTTAAATTAAATCAATCTTATATTTTCTTTCAGTGCGCTTCCCAGGAATTAAAACATACATCGATCCAGACACCTATGAAGACCCATCCTTAGCAGTCCATGAATTTGCAAAAGAGATTGATCCTTCAAGAATTCGCATTGAGAGAGTTATCGGAGCAGGTAAACATAAAATCTACACTCTTAACTACAGGATTCCTTCACAGCTTTGCAATTGGTTCATCAACATGATATTTTAAATCTTAGCATGTTTCATCACTGAAAATATGAAGGTGTAAAAGTATTTTCTAGTTTTTTTTACTTATTTCTTCAAAAGCAGATGTGTCCATATTCATTTCCCAAATAATGAGAACATTTGCAAAAGTTATTTTCACCTTCTGTAGTCTGTTTCGTAATGAAGATAAATTACAGAGAAATTAGAGTGCCTCAGGAATTTATTTTGAAAATGCAATTTCAGGAGTTTGTCATGAGGTTATTATAGATTTACTCAAGTCCCAGCATCTATAGACTTATACTATAATTAGTGTTCATAAAGATGACCTTGAGGCTACACAAGACTTAGAGCGTTCTGAAAATCATTGAAGGTAAAATTTGGTTCAATATAGTTTTAGATCATTTTAATGCAAATTAATAATGCTTCCTATGTGCAAATCTCCAGTACTCAGAACTTTTCATTATTCAGCTATTCTACTTTAAAAAAATTATAGTGAAGCACCCCACAAGAATTTATGGTGTGCATTAGCTAGGAGAAATGGTGCTAATGCAAAGGGCCTTGGGAATAAAAAATAATTCCTCTTTTAAGTCTTTGATGCAAGATAAGCAGCCCAGGGTTTTGCAGAAGAGTTTTCCTTCACCAGGTCTTGCAAGGAGATGAGTTCTGTCTTCCCTTGCTGAGCTTTCCCCTAGCATGTTCTCTTCTACATGGCCAAGGTTCACTTCCCAGCACATCTGCCTTTCAGCCTGAAGGAAGAAGAAGAAAGAGTTCTGTCCACTTGTCTTTGCTTTTGCAGCAATCACCTAGAAATTTCCAACACATTGATTTGCCTATCAAGCCCATGTGTGCATGGTATGTTGCTTTTCTCATGTTGTGTCTTCTCAAAGGCCAGAAGAAAGCAACTGATTATACTGCACTTCTTTAAAAGCCCTTCTACACATCATAGTTCTCCAGGCACAATGTATGATGATAACAGAGGATCCCTTATTAAAGAAATATTATAAGTTTTAAGGTGATGACAGTAATATATGAAACCCACCAACAACTTCTTTTAAACCCGAGCTCTATCTCTGTGATTGCATAACACATGCCAGAGGTAGTCTTGTTTTCCAGAGTCATTAAATACTAGTACCACCCAGGAACATGGACAATTAGGAAAGAATTTTTCCTAACTGCACTCCATTTCTCAAACACATTGGGCCATCAGGTTCCCTCCATGGCCAGATGTCCCTTTGAAAACTGGCATAAGGGTCTTATATTGCACATCTATGCTCTTATCAGAAAAGACTTCTCTATTAGAAAGATGAAAGGCTTAGAAAAGAATTGAAACCTTTGCTATCTTTTGTTGAATAAACAACTACAAAACCCAACACACAACTTAAGTGTGTATTATATTCAGTTTCATAGTGTGTGCTTGGTTTTTGTTCTTCTAAAAGGTGGAGCCATCTAGAAGCTAAAGGAGTTCTAAGCATCATTCAACTTTTCTCTTGTGTCCCATGTGAAATAGTGCTATCAACTTTAAATTCTTATTTCTTTTATTTATTGTCATTATTTTCATCATTATTTGTGTGTCTGTATGGTGTGTGTGTGTGTATGTGTGTGAGCGCGCGTGCGTGCGCGCACGTGTATGTGTTCCAAGGCGTGCGTATGAAGGTCAGAGGACTGTTGCGACCACCTCGACCAGCAAGGAAGACACAACACCGAGCTCTTCTTTTTGCCATTTATTCAGGAACCTTGAACAATCTTCTGACCCCGGGGAAAGCCAGCCCACGCCCTTTATAGCCACTGGGCAACCAATCCCGTAGTGCCACGTGGACAATGCCGATAGGGTCAGACAAACGCAAGCAAGCCAGATTCCACGCCCAAGCCAAATAAGGAGTTGTTTATCCCAGAGAACACCCACCCATCGGGAAGGCGGAAGCCAGACGCCGGCGCCATCTTCGAGGCACGGCCGTGCACGTCTCTCTACAGAGGACAACTTTCAGGAGTTGGTTTACTCTTTCTACCTTACTGAGACCCACTATTTGGGGTTTCTGCCACCATATGTGCTCCAGGTTAGCTGCCCTTCCAGCTCCTAGACTAATTTCCAGCTTCCGCCTCCCATCGTGCTGATGTCGGGATGCTGAGATTACAAATACACAGCATCATATCTATTTTTGTTAGGGCCTTGGGCATTAGCTCAGATCTTCAGGCTCTGCTGCACAGTGTGTTCTGTCGCCTGCTGAGCCATCTCATCTGCCCACTGTAAACTTTAGTGCCATGTTATTTAGCACTCTCAAGATAGAGTAGAAGCATGTTTCTATCATAGTCTCCTGTGTATAAATTAAATGTCTGAAATCATTATATTGAGACTTAAAATCAAGTGCCTGAAATATCAATGATGTGAAGAAATTCAACTTTCAGTTTGGGACTCCTTTGTACTAATCAAACTATATCTTTTTGTAGGCAGATTTTTCTGTCCTGCCTGTCTGTCCCCAAATAGCCACATGGAGAGTTCTTAGTAATTATGAAAGCTTGGCCTGTAGCTTAGACTTTTTTCTAATCAGCTCTTATAGCTTAAATTAAGCTTTTTGATTCATCTACATGTTGCCACATGGCTTCTGGCATTTACCTGTCTGCTGCATGTCTTGCTTCCTCTCTATCTGGCTGGCAACTCTGACCTTCTTCTTCCCAGCATTCTCTCTATCCTGCCTACCTATTGGCCATTCAGCTTTTTATTAAACCAATCCAAGTGAAAGATCTTCACAGTGTACAAAAAGATTATTCCACAATATTTCTCCCTTTTTGTCTAAATGAAAAGGAAAGATTTTAACTCTAACTTAACAAAACTATAAACAGTAAGAATGATTATCAGGTAAGAATTACATTTACGATGTCCAGTCCAATTGTATTTGGCATATTTGGAGAAAATATCCCATTATTTATTCTATCTTCATGAGTCCAAAGCTTTGTATCTAATTTATCTTCTATCATAACTAATGAAGACTACAACTATAACTACCTAGTCCTTAACTCCAACAAAGACACCAGAAGGATATAATATTACCTGAGTAAACAGGAAGTGCAATGCAAGCCACTTCCAAATCTATAGAAATGACAGACATCTGGCTGCCTGAACAGTCACCCAAGGTTCTTGTGCAATGTTTGGGGCACCCACCTTCAGCCTACAGGCCTAGAATATCTGGCAGACTCTTTTATGAAGCAGGAATTTTGAAGGACTGTCCTGCCTAGTCTTGGCAAAGTTTAGGAGCTGCTTTCCTGTGTGTCCTGTAGAATGTCTGGCAGACTTTTCTATGAAGCAAGAATTTTGAAGGGCTGTCATGCCTTATCTTGGCAAAGTTCAACACTTTTTCCTTTGTCTTCTGCTTGTCCAGTTTGCACAGCATACTGTCAACAGTCAAGGCAAAAGCAGTTTCTTGCCCAGTGACTAACCTTGCCACAATGAAAGCAAACTCCATAAGGAGTTTTCTCGATGCCCATTATCCTTTCATAAAGTAGATTGGTGCTACCAGGAGCAGATGTTCTCATTGTTATGAAAAACTCAAAGTTAACAAAACATTTTAAATGTCATATTCTATAGGTCTTTGAAGTGTTTAAAAACTACCTATCTATCTAAATATATCTGTTTAACCTTGAAAACATACCTAATAGAACTACAAGTTTTATTGTTATAAATGATTAACTACTAACCTGCATTTCTTAATTATCCATAAGTACAATATCCCAAACAAGAGTAGAAACATATATTTAGTATAACAAAAATAACTTTAAATTTGTATTAGTATACCAAAATCCACACCAATACAAAGTATTTGAAGTTAACAGTTGTTGTTTTATCCTTTATTATATTTCTATATATCCCCTAAACAATGATAAACATCTATAACCCGTTGAATAAACAAAAACCACATACCCTGTCTCTTTGGAATGTGGGCATTGTGTTCTTTAGACTGCTTCCTGTTGTCTGTGGGAGTTGGCATCTTTAAGAGACCCTGAAAAAATTAGGATAATGGCTAAGTCCTGGCTAGCTAGTCTGTGAGGCTGGGCTATCTCAGCCAGCAGCCTTGAAGCTATTCTGGATGTAGAACTCTGAGGAAACTGCAACAGAGGCATTCTCAGAGGCTGGATCACCTGGGCCATTGGTATCTGGTCCCTTGCTCTGAAAACATATAAACTTTCAAAGGTAACATACATATCTGCATTAATACAAGTACATACTATGCATTTTACACAAGCCAGCCAAAAAAGATTTTTTGTTTTATGTTTGAGCAGGTAAATATATGTCATCTGTCTTGTAGTTTTTCTGATTTATTTCTTTATGTCTGTAGTCAAGATTTTCATGGGGTCTCCCCTGAACAAATCTGATCCACCTTAACCTTGAATGAACCCACAGCTTTTCATTTTATGTGGAAACAAAAGCATAACCTCTTCTCCATCCAAACATATTTTTTACTTTCATTTCAAAGTTGACATTTTTAAAATATGTAGGATAGTTTAATTTAGCAGTTTCCATAATCCAAAGTCTCTCAGCAGATGTCATTGGTTCATCAGGAATAAAAAATTCAAACTTCAAAAAAACACACAGGATCCAGACTTCCTTTGTATATCCCACCTTTAGGTGGCTTATTCTTGTTGTTGTTGTTGTTATTTTTACTCTTTTTTTAAAGACTTTATTATTTTTAAACTTTTTATTTTTATGACTATCTATATCCTTTTTCTTTTTTATTTCCTTAAGCCTATGCACATTGTTAAACATACTGTAACCTGTTTAGAGATTTTTCCATCTGAACCTGCCTTACTACATATCTGTAACCTTTTTTGTCTGCATGAGCAAAACCTTAAACCTTGGCACAGATTAGCCCATGGTGTTCTGGCAACTGAAGCCCACAGGCAGCAGCTGGGAGAAGCATCTCTCTACCACAGCCACCATGAGAGATGGCGGGACTAG